GGGAGGGGAGGGGAGGGGAGGGGAGGGGAGACCAAAGAACCCATACTGGCATTGAAACCCAAATCTGCAATAAAAATGGGTAGAGATGAAATATTAATAGTTTTAAAAAATACCTATCTTGGGTATGTTGATAGCCCTTACTCTACACTATGATCAAAGAACAACAATTCTTTGAACAAAGAATTATTACAAGGCTGTAAGCCATGTGAGAGCAAGGCTCATCACTGGAGCCCAATATTTAGAATTGCAACTAGCCCACCTGACTCACCCAATCTCTCATCCGTGCTTCATTTCTGTATTTAAAACCATCTTTTAAAACATATGCATGTTTTTCTCTCTTCCACCTGAATCCAAAAAGATTTCTGTGATTTTGTTCACTGCTATATTCCAACTGCCTTAATCCAGGGTCTACCAGTTGGCAAGCACATAAAAATATCTGATTAAAAATGCCTCACATAGTACATGACACACAGATGCTCTCAAATTCTGATTAAATACATTTATTTAACCTATAGAAATGTAAATTAGCAAGAAAAAGCCTGAAATCATAAAAGCTCAGGAAATAATACTCATACAATGTCAGAGAACAATTAAATTGCATTAACCTACTTAAAATATGTCCAATTTTGACTCAAATTGTATTGATACTCATTATTATGTTTCTTACTAAGATGTTATCTTTAAATTGCAATAAAATGGAATTCTTTTGAATCAAATCAACAATCCCTCCACAAAACAGATATAGAAACAAAGACCAAAGCACTTTGTACAAACTTCAAAGGACTAAAGGCAAAGCTTACATGCTAGTCTATGTGAAGAAAAAGCTTCCTTAAAGAGCTCTGACAGAGCCCAAAGAACCCACACCTGCACTGAAACACAAATCTGCATTAAAAATGGGTAGAGGGCTGGGCGCCGTGGCTCATGCTTATAATCCCAGCACTTTGGGAGGCCAAGGAGGGCAGATCACGAGGTCAGGAGATCGAGACCATCCTGGCCAATATGGTGAAAGTCCATCTTTACTAAAAATACAAAAATTAGCTGGGCGTGGTGGTGTGTGCCTGTAATCACAGCTATTCAGGAGGCTGAGACAGGAGAATCGCTTGAACCCAGGAGGAAGAGGTTGCAGTGAGCTGAGATTGTGCCATTGCACTCCAGCCTGGGAGACAGAGCAAGACTCTGTATC